ACGTGCTGGCATTTCACTGTACAGGTTACTCCACAAATATTTAAGTGCCTTCAGTGCATCTGAGGCTGGTTGTACCGTTTTAAGTATATGCTCTTGTCTAATAGTGACTGCTGTCATGTTGAGAAAACGGCAATAATCTAAGATTATTTCTTCTTGCCACTGCTAATGAATTCCAGTGAACAGCTCTCAGTGAGATTTTTGCATTTGCCATTCCGTTAACAAGTTATGTTACCCAAGTAGGGGAACAAGATGGCAGAGTGTCTGCTGTGTTTAAAATATCCTAGAAACGGGATTTCCCCCCCATAGTTTTTACATTTTCTTCAGTTTGGTGGCTTTGATTACCATTGTAATCATTTAATTTAATCTTCTGGGAACTGAAAATAGAGTGCGGTCTAACATTAAAAGAATCCACCATTTCTCTTTGGTTTGCGTCAGCAAAGACACCAACCAGGGAGCTCTCAGGCCCTGGAAAGTCTCCCTGAGGTGTAAAAGGAGAACCTGATTTTCATCCATGGCTTTTGTTTGGCAGCAGCCCAGCCCATAATAAAAACAATTTGGAGGTGGCACGTGGAAGACATAGGACTTAAAGTAATAGGAAGACATAGGAATTAAAGCCTTGGTTTGGGTTTTATTTTAATGAGTTAATAAAATGGAATTGTGGGTGACAGCTAATTCTGTTCTGAATATAATTAGGTTTTGCCGATGTCTTACTGGAGACATTTGCTTGCCTCTCCCAACGCTGTTTCCAGTATCAGCCGCACCAGTCATATTAGAGTCTTAGGAAGGATCCAACCGCTGCTTTATCCACGTGGACCACAGCTAAGCTGTTTGTGTTCTTTCCCTAAAGTTCATTAGTAGGAGTAATAAGGATATGTTTTGACTTTTTATTACCTTCTTATTTTGTAAGCAATATCACATTTTTTGAAAGAAAGAATACAGATTTAAAATTTTAAAAATCACTTCTTACCCCATATGAGACATTTTTTCACATTAAACATTGTGAAATATTATATTGCAAAGCTTTAAACACCTATATACTTTATATCATGAAAATGAGTCATTCTAGCAGTAGTAGTAGCAGTAGCAGTAATGGTAGCTAACAACTATTAAACATTTATTATTTGCCAGGCACAGTTTTACTGGCATCTGAATTAAATTTTCCCAACAACCCTGTCAGGTAGGATTTAGGATTTTTCTAATTTCATAGATGGGAAAACTGAGACACAGAGAAATTAAACAACTTGCCCTAAGTCACGTAGCTGTAAGCTGCAGATATGGAATGGAAACCCAGGCAAGCTGACGCCAGATTGTGGGCTCTTTTTATTACTCACTAACAATGTCTGTCCTGGTCAGCTGCCATGTGAGTAAACGTGTATCAAGGCATCGTCTTCAGGGCTTCATGGAATTCCATCTTATGGGTATAACGATTATATATGACCAATTTCCCGTTACTGAGCATTTAGGTTGTTTCCAGTTTTTCTGTGATAAAACATTGCTCTGATAAACATACACTCTGGACATCATCGCATGCCTGTCTTTTTCTTTCCCTAGAATAAACACCTTTAAGCAGAATTTTAGATCATGTTTTGTGAGCCTTTTATACAAATTTCCGTATTGCCCTCCAGAAAGATTTTTTTCTGAACACTTCTATCAGAATGTAAAATTTCCCCATGTCACCAATAATGGTTATTCTTTTTTTCTAAGTCTTTGTCTTTGTGACCTGAGGAGAACTGCATTTATTGTTTTGTGAGGTTAAACTCTTTTTTTTTTCCCCAAGTAGTTACTAGAAACTTATATTTATAGATGGGAAAACTTCATTAGTGAGTTTTCTGCTCTCATCCTGTTTTTTTGTGAGGATGTATCCACTTTTATTAAGGATACACCGTCATTATATATTAAGGACGTAGGTTCTTATCATGTGCGATGCAAATATTTCCCCCCAGGAAATTCACATACAGGTAAGTTATTTTTATAGGTGAAAGTTCCAAACAACCTTTACTAAAAAGAAGCTCAGAAAATGTGGCCTAACCTTTGTAAAAGCTATTTAAAATGTCTTGCAGTCAATAATAAATGAAGCAAAATTAAGGGCTTATAAATAGGGAAGTCAGTGTTAATAAAGGGTAATTTTTTAAAGTAATATTTGGCAGTTCTTGAGTTCACCTCAACAAATGCTTTATTTCCATGTGAACTATGGACTGCTTTTGCTTTTTATCCATAAAGTGTCTTCATTAAGATATTTTTTTCTCTATAAGTATGGATTTTGTAGGAAAACACTCTTATTTTCAGGGCTTTGCCCTATAACCCACTACCATCCCAAAGGACGGATTTTTGAAACAGGTTGTAATCATGGGAGATGAAACTGCCAAAGGAGGGGACAGTTTGTAACACAGTCTTTTGATGCTTTTTTATTGATTGTCCAAGAGAACACAGAATGTCTAGAAATTAATTTTAAAAACTTCCCTCCAAATATAGAGACACTTCATTTAAATTGTATTATGAGTCTAATGCTTCAAAACCAGCTAGGACTTGGTGTGGTTTTAAATAACTTAGTTTATAACTTGGTTTTAAATTACCCTTTATTAACACTGACTTCCCTATTTGTAAGCCCTTAATTTTGCTTCATTTATTATTGACTGAAAGACATTTTATTGTAAGAAAAGTATCTTCAGTGGAGACAAAGGCCTTTTCCCCCTCTTCTTTGTTGGCTTGGGAGAGCAAGATGAGAAATGCTATTTTGGGGACAAGATTCCCAACAGACGGGCATCCTTCGGCAGTGTAGGCAGAAAGCCAGCCTCCAGAGGCCTCCCGCTTGCTTTAGAGCAGGGAGTGGCGCTGAGCTGCAAGGAGAAAGGATGTCCCTGGCCCAAGGGTAAGTCAGTCCCAGACTGGGTGGGTGGAAACGCAGCATTACAGAAACTCCATAGAGCCGATTCATTAGAAATTGATGCCTTTCGAGGTTCACTCCTTCCCCAGTTCTCTAGGGGGGCTTGGTTACAGCTCCAAGAAAGGGATTATATTTTACTCAGGGCCACATTGCTCCCTTAGTAGTAGTAATACATAAAATATAAATTCGAAAACCTGGATTGTTTCTTGACTCCCTTCCCTCTGTTTTCCAGAAAATAAGTCACATAGGCATCTACAAAAGTGGGTTGCTGATTAATGTGAAGGATAGTGCTGTCTTTAATTTTAAAATGCCTTGAAATCCTTTTGGTGTGGGAAATACTTTCTGCTCTTTATATTTCGGGGGTGAGTTGCGGATATGCACGTATGCATGCTCTTGTCTGTAGCCTACATTTTCAGACTGACATTTTCAGTAGAGGGAATCGCTATTTGAATAAATATACTTGGAGAGATAGATGACAAGCCAGCCTTCCCATCCATGTGTAATTACAATTGCAATCGTGGGTGGCATTGCTGATTTGTTATGGTTGGATATGATATTCATGAAGGTTTGGCGAGGCAGTTAGACTAAACTATTTGACTTGAGCATCTGAGTATCCGTTTTTCTCTGATTCCCAATTCCTGGCAGTAGAAACAGTGGGCGGAGTAGTGGCAGAGATCCCCATACACATTCCTCTAGAGACAGAGTAGAATGGCTCCAAGGCAGAGTTTCTGTTCTCACTCATTCAGTCAACAAACCTTAACTGAGTATCTACTGTATGCCAGACTCAGATTTGTTTTCTGTGTCATTCCTTCATCCGAATCCACTCCTCCTTGCTGAAGGCCTCATTTCTCCCCCCCTCCCCTTCCCACAGCGGACATACAGGGTTTTTACCCTACTGAAAAGGTTTGGATCCTTCCTGCATGGAAACTCAGGTCCTGTATCTCCTTCCTTGAATGCTCTGCTAGGGCTAGGAGCTTTATTTGTAAGCCCCCCCCCCTCCCCTTTAAAATAAAACCCTAAGATAGAAAAGTATGTTAGAGAAAAAAGAAGAGATGATATCGTGAGCGTTTTCTGACGTTACTGCATACTATTAAACATTTTAATGGCTGGGTATTATTTCATTGTATGCCGCAATTTCCTAACATTCACCCAAAACGTGGGTCCCAGTTTGGGTTTGTTTCTGTAAGGCATTGTTTATGAACTTTGGTAAGGCCCTTCAGACAAGTTGCCAAACCACTTTCAGAGAGTTTGTAGCATCTTACAGTCTCCTTAAAGGTCTGTTTACTGCTCCTGTCATGGCCCCCTCACCCTCATGCAGTACTAAAATCTTTAAATCTTCACTGGTTTTTTAACTTGTGTTTTTCTTATTACTAGTGATGTTGAACATTTTTTACACGCTTATTAGACATTTTTAGTGTCTCTTTCCTGAGTTATCTGGATATGTCCTTTACCTGTATTTCTATTGGACATTTTGTGCTTCTCTTACTTACTTGTGCGAACTTTTTCATATTTAAGGATATTAACATTTTTGTCTTTAATATTTATTGATCCCATTTGGGCAAAAAATCCCTCCAGTTATATTATTTACAGTCATATTATCATGTAGAACAGATAACTTGAGATCAGCTTCATATCATTTTATGCGGGAGGTGGTTTTCNATTATATTATTTGCAGTCATATATCACGTAGAGCAGATAACTTGAGATCAGCTTCATATCATTTTATGCGGGAGGTGGTTTTCAATGTTCAAAAATTAAGAATACAAAAAGGAAAAATTAAGAATACATACTTTAGAGCAAAGAAAACATCTGTTCTGTAAATTTATGTACTGCAAAGGGGAGAAGGTATAAGAATTCAGTTGCAAGGGACCTCGGTCCTGCCGGGGCTTCTGTCAGCAGACTCACTTGTGTTCCCGCTGTGTTGGATGCACCCCTCTGAGCGCTTATTACAAAGCTCTGAGATCTGCGCGCAGACCAAGCCTGAGACAGGTGATGCGCTGCTTTGGAATCCACTGGGTTCCAGATGCAAGTCTAGCCATCCCTCATTCCCACGCCTCCGCTCCCTGCCTCCGGGCGCCCTGATAGCAGCCCTCACGTGTTCTCCTTTCCATTTTAGACAATTCCTCCTCACTTCTGGACGACGAAGGGGTAGACATGGCGGCCGTCGGCCAGCAGGCCAGCAGGCCCGTCGTGAACGGCCACCCAGCCACTCCAGTGACCTCTGCTCGTTTCCCCAGCTGGGTCACTTTTGATGACAATGAAGTCAGCTGCCCTTTGCCACCCATCCCCTCTCCTCTGAAGTCGAGCACGCCACCCGTTGCGCCCGTGACCCCCGACGTACCTCATAGCTCCACTGGCTCATTTAAGAAGAGAGAGCGTCCCAAGAGCACTTTGATGAACTTCTCCAAAGTCCAGAAGCTGGACGTTTCCTCCTTAAACCACCCGCCTTCCATAGCGGAGGCCCCGCCTTGGAGGGCCACCAACCCTTTCCTGAATGAGACGCTGCAGGATGTACAGCCGTCCCCGATCAACCCGTTCAGCGCCTTCTTTGAGGAGCAGGCCAGGCGCTCCCAGAACAACTCCACGTCCAGCGCCACAGGCAAAAGCCAAAGAGATTCCCTCATTGTCATCTACCAGGATGCCATCAGTTTTGACGACTCGAGCAAAACCCAGTCACACTCTGATGCTGTTGAGAAACTCAAAGGGCTGCAGATCGACGACCCTGACCACTTGGGCAGCGCGACCCTGCCCGACGATGACCCCCTAGCCTGGTGCGAACTGGATGGCCGCCCGCCCGGCTCAGCACCGTCCCAGCCCAGGGATGGGTGGCCAATGATGCTGAGGATCCCTGAGAAGAAGAACATCATGTCCTCCCGGCACTGGGGACCCATCTACATCAAACTGACAGACAGCGGTTACCTGCAGCTGTACTACGAGCAGGGCCTAGAGAAGCCCTTCCGCGAGCTCAAGCTGGAGATCTGCCACGAGATTTCCGAGCCCCGGCTCCAGAACTACGACGAGAATGGCAGGATCCACAGCTTGCGGATAGACCGTGTCACCTACAAGGAGAAGAAGAAATACCAGCCGAAGCCTGCTGTGGCCCACACGGCGGAGAGGGAGCAAGTGATCAAGCTGGGCACCACCAGCTACGACGACTTCCTGAGCTTCATCCGCGCCGTTCAGGACCGGCTGATGGAGCTGCCGGTGCTGTCCACGGACCTGAGCACCGTCGGCCTGAACTACCTAGAGGAGGAGATCACGGTGGATGTCAGGGATGAGTTCTCGGCCGTGGTGAGCAAAGGCGACAACCGGGTCCTCCAGCACCGCGTCCTGACACGGGTCCACGTCCTGAGTTTCCTGTCGGGGCTCGCGGAGTGCCGCCTGGGCCTCAACGACGTGCTGGTCAAGGGGAACGAAGTCGTCTCCCGGCAGGACATCGTGCCGACCACCACCACCAAGTGGATCCGGCTCCACGAGTGCCGCTTCCACGGGTGCGTGGACCAGGACGTGTTCAGCAGCTCCCGGGTGATCCTGTTCAACCCGTTGGACGCGTGCCGCTTCGAGCTGATGCGGTTCCGCACCGTGTTCGCCGAGAAGACCTTGCCTTTCACGCTCAGGACGGCGGCCAGCATCTCCGGGGCCGAGGTGGAGGTGCAGAGCTGGCTGAGGATGTCCCCCGGCTTCTCCTCCAACTGCGACCCTCTCACGCAGGTTCCCTGCGAGAACGTGATGGTTCGCTACCCCGTGCCCAGTGAGTGGGTGAAGAACTTCCGCAGGGAGAGCGTGCTGGGGGAGAAGTCCCTGAAAGCCAAAGTGAACCGGGGCGCCAGCTTCGGCTCCACCAGCGCGTCTGGCTCCGAGCCCGTCATGAGGGTGACTCTGGGCACTGCCAAGTACGAACACGCCTTCAGCTCCATCGTGTGGAGGATCAGCCGCCTGCCTGACAAAAACTCAGGTAGGTGGCGGTTTGTGGACCGTGGAAACCACCGCAGCTGCTGAGCGGCGGGACCAGGGCTCCACACCCCGTCTCCCGACGAAGCGCTGAGCTTTGACGTGGGACGGGGCGGGGGGTGGAGGGGCAGTGGGGCCAGGAAAGCAAAAAGATTTGAGCAAAGTGAGCGACAAACACGATGACCCATTTCCCTCCGTCCTCTCACCTCCTGAGTGGCCGCACGTCTTCCATAATGCTGTGCATTATTCTCAGCTGAGCTGCCAAGCAGCCTTCCAGGGAAGCTTATGAATTTCTATTCCTTCCTGGCTCATTAAAATATTATCTGTGGTGCTGGAAGCCATCCATTTCCAGATCCTAGAAGGCTTCTGGGTTCTGAAGAGAGATCTTTTTTTTTTTTCTTTCCCAATCCTCACCCAAGGATGTTTTTTATTGATTTTTTTTTTTTTAGAGGGGGCTGGGGGGAGAGACAGAAACAGCCATGTGAGAGAGAAACACCAGTCGGTTCCCACCCCAGCTGGGGATCAAACCCAAAACCTGGGCATGTGCTGAATCGAACCCTTGACCTTTTGGTGCACAGGATGGTGCTCCAACCAACCGGGCCACACTGGCCAGGGCTGAAGAGGTGTCTTCGTAAGTGTGCCCTGGTGGAGGCAAAGGGGTGGGTTTATTACGGCTCGTCCTATACAGAATACAGGCGAGGAGCCTGTTTACAACCCCAGCCACCGGGGGAAAGGCCTGTCAGTCATCACATCTCGAGCTCAGGGGTGGGGTTTGGGGATAGAAAAGAGGAGAAATGGCCTCAGGTCAGAACTGAAGATGCAGCCAGGATAGGAGGGTCCAAAAGGGCTGAAATTCTATCAGACAAAAAGTTAAGGAAGGGATGTTGGATTTAAACAAAGAGTTGAAGCCTGCCAGCCCTCGCTGGCCCGCTCGCAGCTAGTGGGGCGGTTCTGTGCTTGCGTGAGCCCAGAAGGCAATGACTTTCCTCGCGGTTCCCGTGAGAGTTAGCGAAACAACAGAACTAGTGAGCATCCAGCCAGTTCTGACGGCCTTATTTGTTAGGATACGTCTGGTGACCCAGTGGCAGGCAGTAAGCCCCTGATCCTTTGCTCTTTTAAACCACTTCTTGCTTATAATCAGCTTTGCTCGTCTGTTAAGAAAAGTGGCTCTCCTAGCCCAGCAGGAAGAATGAGGTTTGGGAAGACTCTTGACTGGAACATTTTCTCCTGTGCAGATATTCTTGTTTCCATTCTCGCCGTTGAATCCTAACGGCGTGTTCAGCGTCACTCCCCGTCCTGTGTGGAGAGGCTGTCGGCCTGGTCCACTCTCCAGGCGCCCGAGGCCGTGGGCCCAGCAGGGCCGCCTGTGCCCGACGCCGGGCGTAGCAGTGCAGACCGGGGAGACAGTTGGACCTCTGTGTCTGGGGCTGGGCTTGCCACCCTGTTTCTAAACTGACAGAATTTTTAAAACAGAGTCTTCCTCTCTGTGCTCCTAATTCATTTCCCCTGAAGGACCACTGTGTTCTCCTGGTGAGAGCTCTGTGGTTTCTACCTCAGCCACGGGGCCCCTCTGAATTGGCAGGGCGGGGTGGGGGGAAACCCTGGATTCTTTGGCCTTGGGAAGAAAACCAAGGTGACAGAGAGAAAATTACTGTTCAACTTGCTAGACACGTGACATGGGGGAAAAACAAGACTTCAGGTTTATGTTTATTGGGAGTTCTAGCTCTCGAGTGTACTGAGAAGCATGGATTCAGGTAACTTTATTTTGGAGCTACTGGCTTTCTCAAGGTGGAAGGGACCTTGAGGATAACTTCCTTCAACCTATTCTTTCTACTTAGGAAAAGATTAAGGCCGGGAGGTGACAAGACTCATCTGAAGTCACAAAGCCACATCCAGGGGCCTTTTTTCAGTACCACAGCTGCCTCTTTGTAGATGACACCAAAGAGACCCAAACCTGGAATAAGTGCCACGTGGGGCCAGAGATGTGCAGTTCTCCCAGGCTGTGCACACATACCTCACTCGTTTCAGACTTCTTTCTCTCAAATATTTAAAAGCATTACCTGGGGGATGTTTGGTTATAAGCAGCAAAGGCTGACTGAAGAAAGCTGATGGAAGGATATGGGCAGCTCAGAACTGAAGGAAGGACAGCTTTTGATAGGAGGGACTATGATGCCTCCTCAGCTGCAGCCACTGGGACTAATCACAAGTCAGTTTCTGTCCTTGTGCCGCTTGGCTCGAGCCGAGGAGGTCGGTGCATTTTGACTGACGTGACCACCAAGATGACACACAGTGCAGGGGAAGATATGTCCCAAAGGGCGGGGGGAGATTGGCACCAGAAGAAAGGAGAGTGGGTGCAGGACAGGGGAAAGCACTGGTCTTCAGCAAACACTCTCCTAATGCTTCCCAGTGGGTGGTATTCAGTAGGCTCAAGGCCAAGCAAGTGCAGCTTATATATTACATATGCATTTCCAGATGACTGAAACCTTATTTGTGAAAGATTTTTTTGAAATACTGGAAAGCATAAGGATATGTAGGAATATTTCTCACTTAAATTCCCCCCACCCACCCCAATTACTGCTTTTGCTGGCATGGTTATATAGATTTAGAAGTGACCCCCCCCCCCAAAGGGCCTCTTATAATACTTCTGGCCAATTCTGCATCAGTTCAGGAAATGGGTAGCACCCTTTTCTGGAGCCTTGGGGTGCGCAGGATCTGAATTCCAGGGAGCAAGCAGGTTCCTACCGCTGCTGGTGCTTACTGTGCCCAGCCCCTGCCCTCCCTGTCGGGTGCCAAGAAACCAGAGACGGGATGATGATCTATTAGTCATTGTCCCCTATCTTGGGCTCTTCTGTCTTGGTCTTTAGACAGCTTTGGGAAGGTACTTTTTCTAGATTATTTTCCATAATCCTCACAGTTCCATTCTCGGTGAAGGAGGCCTGACTTGCCGCGTGCCTTCCCACCTGCAGTGGCCCTGCACCCCTAGTCCCCAGCAGGCAAGGCAGGCAGACCACGGGCGGCATGGGCCCGCAGGGCGGCCCCTCTGGCTTTGCTGGCACCCAAGCCTGCAGCCACAGCAGGTGCGTCCCATCCCAGCCATCGGAAGACTAACCAGCCGCATTGGATTCCATCACGGCTCCTGCCGGCAGGGCCCACCCCGCCCGGCCATGCGTGAGTGC